GAAAGAGACTGAATTTGAAGAATTGAAACAATTTTCCAAATGGATTGTAAGTATTAGCATCCATGACAATCTTTGATGCGTGAATTCAGTTCACGTCACAAGTTAATTGCATAGCATTTGTGCGAAGGATGGATCGTACGGCAGCAGTTTAACATAAAGGGCAAAGATGGAACTTACAATGTCAAGTGGATGTTGCATCATATCTTAGTTCATGGAACCTATCCAACAAATGTGACTTATACTTCTCAACTTCAGAGTCATCGTCCGGGGAAGAACCACTTGGGGTGGACTTGATTGCTGATATTGCCCCCGCACGATGCAACACTGCAGCAGCTTCCACTGCCAGAAAAAAAACACAGATGAATTAGTCCTCAATGATGAAATGCAGAAATGGCAGAGGATTTGACACACAAAAACATAGATACTCAATAATTTATTTATTTTAATTTTAATTTTTCTTTTTGGGGGGGGGGGATTTTTCCTGGATCGACCGCCTCAATAATATATGCAAGGCTTCACTCACTCCTACCATTTTCAGGAAGAGCCCTCGTGAATGAAGCCATATTGATCAAGAAAGCTCCCAAACATGTGCCACTTTCGATAAACATATTTTGCACACACAAGGAAAAAGCAGCCTAAAATGTATGAATAAATATAAAGTAAAAAAGAGAAAAAAAATTGTAAGAAGGAAAGCCGTACCTGATTTTGAGATTGCAAAAAGAGCCTTCAAAGCTTCCTTCCTTGTGCGGTCATCCTTAGCAGCCTCCAACATCTTTACAAGTTCTTCAGCTCCACCCATTTCAATAATTTTCATCCTCCTTTCATCTAAGAGACCCATGAAGTTCACACCAACACATTTCAAGTTTCAATTATAACATGACTCTCCATAGTGCTTTTAGCCTTCGCTTGGCTAGATGGAAAGAGAGGGGGTAAACGGATAATTTTAAAAATATGTTATGTTTTGGTTCGATGGAGAAGTGTGGAGGAATTACGAGTATAATTTTTTAGAGCGAGGTTCTGGGGAGGGTCCCACCACAAGGGCATAGTGTGGGCAAACCATATACGGGGTATTTTTTTTGAAAAGATATATAAAGATATTATACAATAACAACTAAATCAGTATAATCCCAATTCCGCTGGGGTTGGGCAATAAACCTTACCCCAGTAGAAAAAATAGATGTGACCTCATAGAAAGTAAGAAGCAAGCAAAGTTCAATGTGCCATTTGATGAAGCCCATTTTTACCCAAAGCTTTTTGGGATCGAGCCTTAAAGTCTACTAGACACATTATTTCAACAGCTCTTAGGGATTGTATTATCCACCAGATAGTGCACTCCCAAAAATTGTTTCTCTCCAAAATTGTTCCTCTTCAAAATTCTTTAAAGTTTAATGGTAAAACATAAAAAGACATTGAACAAATTTTATGCATCTACAAGAAGTGAATGCCGAATAAAAAAACACACCATCAATGGCAAAACGGGCCAATCTGGACGCTCCCATTCTTTTGAACAATGGATCCTTGACTCGTAAAAGCGTCACAGACTGCTGCATCATGTTGTCTCCTGAAAATGTCATGATGTATATTATTGCCAAAATGCCCATTAGAAAACTAAAAAAAACTAAGAGCCCGTTTGGTAAGGCTTATTTTGGCTGAAATGGCTGAATCTGATAAGGAAATGGTTTGGTGGAGTATCATACATTTGAGCCAAATAAGTCAAAGCTACTTATTGTGTTGATAAGAAGCCAAACAAACCTCCTTGGGCTTACCAAACGGACCCTAATACTTCTACATTAGAAATTTCTTCACACCCAAATACGGGAAAAACTGATAAGCTACCGCCGTTGCAGTCCCAGCAAAAATTAGTTTCAATAGCCACCCTATTTTCCTTTCAGCTTCTTCTTCTATAGATCCTTCGCCTACAAATGAGAAAGCAGTGCAGATAATTGCAGTAATGAAAAAAGAATGTGGAACGAAAAATTATTCCTTTTTTTGGATGACATTTTTGCAGCAGATAAAATGTATACCATCAATTTTAGATCTTATTTCCATTAATTCATCACTCAGCTAAAAATATATATATTTGAGATAATGCAGCAGCCACAATATAAAATTATCAACAAATCTTGCTCATTGGGTTCTTAAACAAGCAATTATTCAAATGAATACAAGAGATCAAGAGCAGCAATACCTTTTCCATAGCTAGATGCGGAGAATTTCTTGTAAGATTGAATCGGTTCATTCCAAGGTTTTCTTCTTAAAATATGCTGAAACAATACATACAATCAACGAATCAAGTAAGAAATTGATCTTAAGTAAAAAAAGACTGGAATTTGAAGGGTTAGGGTTAGACTAAACCAGAACAAAATGAAAGCTATATAGCTTACAGAGGTGAGCCTGGCGGCTAGAGCGCGCATGGTTAGAAATAGGCAGAAATGGTTGAGCTTTGAATTTCCTACCTCCAAACTAAAACAGCTTTGAAGTTTGAACTGGAACTCATCACTAGTATTTAAAAAAAAATGAATTAAAATTATGAGCTACTCCGTATTAGGGAGTATAAATTAGAAAATGACACTGGAGTATGATGACACTCTGATGCCACTGTCATTTTAGGACACTTTCAGTGCTCCGTAGGTTCCTACCCCCCTAACCCACCCCTAAATCCCCACACCTTACCCCGCCCCTGCACCCCACCATAAGACCCCCACAAAATGTGTGGCTATTATATAATGCATAATAGTCACACATTTTGTGGGGGCTTACGGCGGGGTTGGGGTGCAAAGGCGGGGGTAGAGTGGGGGGTTTAGAGGGTGAGTTATGGGAGATACGAACCGTCAATTTTACGAACGTGCACCAAAACTGCTCCAAAATGACAGTGGCACCGAAGTGTTACCGTACTCCGGTGTCACTAGAACCCCGCCGATTGGAAAATTTTAGGTTATTACTTTCGGGACGATTCCATGACATTGCACAGGGAGCGCTCTCATGCCCCGTTTGTAAAATTGATAGTTTCTACTCCTAGTAAACTTCCTGTCATGGGATTTACCGGGGGTTAGGGGAGTAGTAACCGTCAATTTTATGAACGGGGCACCAGAGCGGTCCCACTTCATCTAATGTCATGGGAACCCCACCAAATTTCTTTACCAAATTGAGTACTTTACCCCATTACTTCCACAAATTTGATACGTACTAAATGACACTATCACTCCAATAATTCACACGTTTTTATGATGTTATTGTCTCTGTCATTTGTGTAATGAATTTTTTTATTATGACGTGACAACTATTCTTTTTTGACCTTTGCTTAATAATTGGTCCCCCAATTATTACGTATATATTATTACGATAGTTTTTTTCTTTGTTGACATAGCAGAGAAACATGCACCACAATGTTGGTTTGCTAAATTTTCAGATGCTTTGAAACAATATGGTTTTGTGTAATCCATCTCCCATTATGCACTCTCTTTCTTTCATGGCGTGCAGGGGGTATTGATGTGCATGTGTATGTAGATGATTTGATTATTGCAAAAATAATTCTGAGATGATACAGAAAAATTTAAAAATTATTTATCTGAATGCTTCTACATGAAGGATTTTGGTGTGCTAAAATATCTTTTAGACATTGAAGTTGCTCGTAGTTCCTCAAGTTATTCTTATGCCAACGAAAATATGATTTGGATATATCTCAAAGACATGGCTGCTTGCTCCAGCCCACTATCAGCACCTATGGAGGAGAATCATCGCTTGACTCTTTTCAAGAGCCCTTTGTTGGCTGAACCTTATAAATATATATATAGGCATCTAGTTGGGCTCTGACAGGGATGTAAACAAATCAAATATTTTAAATTCGATTCGCGATTTGTATTCGAATATGATGATTCGAATTCGCGTTATTCAAATACAAATACAAATTCAAATATTATTTTTTATTCGAATATTAATCAAATACAAATACAAATAGGGATATATTCGATTCGGATGGTATTCGAATATTCGAATATATGTATATAAACACAGACCATGTTTTCAACATCAAAAGTCAAGCAAAGTAATATAGTATAAAGTGTATTTAAAATACTAAGAATTCAATAAATTAACGTAACACGAAAATCTAAAGCATATGATTTTTAATAGTTATATTTTATAAAATATAATTTGTGTAAGATGCAGATGTATTAATGTTTTTATATACAGAATATAGTATAGTATAAAGAGTATCGTAAGTTAAATTACAAATTGATGTTGGTCCATCATATAAATTACATAGTATGATTATTCAAATATTCGTTTATGATTCGATAATTATTCGAATATTAATCAAATACTTATTCAAATCTTATTTTGAATTCGTCTCATATTCGGATTCGGATTCGTATTCGAAAAAAATTAAACAAATACAAATTCAAATATATCGGTATTCGCTTCGATTCGGTTCGTTTACACCCCTAGGCTCTGATCTATTTGTCAGTTACCCGTCATGAACTATCTTATGTTGTTCACACTTTGGCTCATTTAAAAAAGATCGCAGAGATGACCACAGCATGTTGTACTATGCGTGGTCCATTATAAAAAGGGGTGTCCTCGATGGGCTATCCCATTGTCAAATACCAATAAAATCCTATTGTCAGATACCAAAAATTTAAATATGATTGAATGATGTGATTAGATTGGGCCGCATGCACACTTGCACGGAAATCTCTGACAAAATAGTTTGTGCAGTTTGGAGATTCTCCTGTTCATGAAAGACGAAGAAACAAACTATTGTGGCATGTTCCTCTGTGGAGGATCAATATTGTGCATTAGGTGTTAGTACTCATCTTACACATCTTATAATTATTTGTTGTAATAGCACAACTACTCTTCATATTGCGGTGAATCTTGTTTTTCATGAGCGAATGAAGCTTATTGAAGTATATTGTTTTTCATGAGCTAATGAAGCTTATCAGAGTGGTATTTTTTGGCCAACAGAAATTATAGTCCGTAAATGGTCATACAGTATTTTACATGGTATCTAATTTTTATGTATAACCAAAAACACCGCTAGAAACCTCATTAATCAGAAAATTTTTGGTTTAAAAACCAAAGAAAATCATTTAAAATAGAGTAAATTCCTCAAATGATAGGGATAAGGTCTAACAACACTCACCTTGTGTATTTTTGTTGATATCATACAATAGTAAAATAACCTCAAATAAAAAAAATCTCCCAAAGTCATGTCTAAAACCTAAATATTTGTTTCCTGCTCTAATTTTGAACTACAACAACCCATTTTTCCAGTGTGGTAAAAAAGTAAAAACTTGAAGAACAAAAAATTAAAAAAAAAAACCGGGACGGGGTAGTCACTGCCGAAGTCTGCATACCATACGCCAATGGCATAGCTACTGGTCCATGAATTCATAATCACCTCCTGAAATGTTCATTTCAATTCCAATTATTAAGACAGAAAATGAACAAGCTGCACTCCCCTACCTGATGTTTTATGCATTGGGGAGACAAAACATTACATGTAAAAAAACATACGAAAAATGCTACTTTAACCTCAAAGATTACACCAAGGTTGATACCATCAAAGACAATTACGCACAAACATAGTCTCATAGTCTATGGGACACTAACGGTGTCGACCTTGATGTCATCAGTGGAGCATGACCATAAACCCCTATGTCCTAAGCACTAGGATGACCTTGACTCAAGGTAATTCTCCAATTTGCTTTTTTGGTTCACGTGTTAATGTTTTACTTAATTAAACAAAATATATTGAATGATTATAAGAAAATTTTGTCAGATTTGTCTAATACCATACTTGAAATTATTTTATCACAATTCTTAGTACTCCGTATTTCATAATATTAGAAAAACATTCAACTAGGAGACCATGAAAAATCAAGGAGACAAACACATTGGGGGCGAAGAGAGTATTTCTTAAATATGAAAATGAAATAAAATCTAGAAGTGAAGGCAAGAATGCCATTTTCTTTAATTTCAGCCATTTTAGCCAAAACAGCAACACTCTTGTGCTATATTTTTTTCATTGTCGCCCAATTCAAAAACCACAGTGGAATAAGTTGGTTTCGGGTAGAGAGCTTAGCCGATAAGCCAAAAATATTGATTTACCAAACAAGCTCTAAAGGTGGAGAATAAATGATAGTTAAATCAGAAAATACAACTGACCTGCCAGATTTTTTTGATGGGACAACAAGTCCTCTTTTCTCAAGGCTCTTGAATCGGTCCTTTGCGAGGGTACAACATCCCTTTTTTTGCAATATAATTTAAAAGTATCAGTGTCATAACAAAACAAACTAATTAAAGAGTATCAGAAAAACTGCAAATCAGTCAAATACTTCATCCGTCTTAAATTTAAGTTTCCATTTTCTTCATTAATAAAGAAAGGTAAACTCATGTGATTGAGATATATGCGGAGGAAGAAATAATATGAACCATGCTCTTCTTCCTTAAGAGGAAATGGGAACTTAAATTACTGACAGAGAGAGCAAACAACAATCTGAAACGTGTAGAAGTAAATGGTGGGTCAAAAAAAAGAACCTTTAATTGCCGGAGGGAACCTGTGATCTCTTCTGATAATAGAACTTGAACAGGAGCAGGGTGAAATCTGAGATTGATATAAGCTAGTCAGATTGCATATATTGTAGAAAGAAACTAGAAATGCGAGATACAAAATAAGGGAATCTAGTTTGACAATCATTCTTGTGTGAATAATAATAGGATGTGCAACTCCAAGTCCCAACATAACAATTACCCCTGCAAACCGAGTAAAGATCGCCTAAGTCACCTGTGTACCACATCATTATTTTAGCTACAAATTTATATTTTTAAAAATAAAATCATGTAGAATTATGCTGAAAACAAGCAATCATAAATATTTAATATAAAGAGTAATATTTTTACAAAAATTAAAGTTTATGTATCTTATACGGAGTATGTAATATAACAGAGTTAGCACAATAATGAGCTATAAAAATAGAAATATTTTTTACAATATAGATTATGAATGTACTCCGTATACATTTTGTTTTAAAAGTAAAAATACTTCCCTGGTCCCATAAAAAAAATTCTTTGTTGATTTCAAGGAGTTTAAGAAAATTATTGAAGAGCAAAAAACTAGTGGTTGGAATTTGTTCAGAGGAAAGAGAAATGTTGTGAACCACACATTCCTTAAGGAAATGAAGAAAGTACGAAGTTTCTTTTAGGACGAACTAAAAAAAGAGGGAGATTATAACTATAGCTAAGACAGTCATATAGATAATCTTTACCCTTGCAACCCCCACCCACAATTATTTGGAGATCATGGAACAAAAAACCATACTTGCGCTTCCCAAGACGCGGTGGACAAGATTTTAGCCTTTCTAGTTTTGAAACAACACGGCGGAGATGTCTTTTCTGCTTCTCTTCATCCTCTTTGGCTATTTCTTGAATTATATTTTTCACGCTGCAAAGGAATAATGATTTCTAAGATACAAATATACAAGAGATTATGTCAACAAAGAACTAATCCACTAAGAGTCAAATGAAATATACCTGTCGATTTCTTTAGAAAGGTTCTTCACCTTTTGGGCTTCCGCTTCAGCTTTTAACTGTTCTTTGCGCCTTGCCCTCTTGTTCTTTTCAACTCTTGTCACCACTTTGGTTTTTTTCATCCTTCATCATTTGCAATCAGAGTTGGAATTTCATGAGAATTCTAGTAATATACTTCAATCATTTTATGTTGTGTAACTGCGAATTCACTCTTATGATACATCCGTATTTGCTCGTACAAATGTGTTCCTTGAGTATACACTATTAGTCAATTTTGCTATCGGCATTCTTTTTAATTGTTTTAGTAGTTTATGGTCGAGGAACCAAATCGGATATCACCTCTCAATAATGTGAATCACGGTTAACAACGTACACTCAGTCCTTAAATACTTATCCTTCAATCATTAAAGAGCATATTATGTTCTGAAAAGGCAATACTTCCTAAAAGATCTGTTTGTATTTTGGATGGATTGTTTTATACCCTCTCCGTCCCGTAAAAAGGTTCCACATTTTGTTTTTTGTTTGTCCCAAAAAAAAGGTTTCACTTTCTACTTTTAGAAAAAAATGTGGTGCTTATATTTTCTCTCTCCATCACTTTAAACCACACAATATTACTTTTTTAATGTTTGTGTCAAGTCAAAGATGGAACCTTTTTGGGACGGAGGAAATATATGGAAACATATTTGAGATTTCATAAAAATGAAACATTAACATAATATATTGTCCTAAAGCATTTTGATCAAGTTTTATTTGTGTTTAAAAACATTCCATCTACAGTATCACAAAAAACTAATCCCTCCAAAATCCTCCATTCAAACAGACCCTAAATCACAAACCTATTCTCTGGTTCCAGGTTTCCATCTTCTGCCATATTTTCACCATCAGCATCACTTTCATCATCCACATCAAGGAAATACAACTGAAAAAAGGTTTGTTGGAAATTGTATAGAGTAAGGCACTTACAGAAAAGAGAAGTAAAATTCAAATTAACAGTAAATAACTACAGTCAGATAGACTAACATTTTCTTCATCAACTGTATCTCCAGGAACAGTTAAAGGAACAGGCTCGGGCCCCAACTCATCCTGATAAACTTTCTGCATTTCATCAGCAACTGCCGCTGCTAATGCATCCTGAATGCAACACAAAGAGATGAATAAATAGATACAATGTCAACAACAATAAAGCCAAGATTTGAGGAAAAGATGTGATAATCAGTTTCTTAAAAACCTGGTGGCTTTCAGGGGGTGGATTGAATGAGCACCCTGGTGGATCAACTTCTACTGCAGGTATAATAGAAGTCTTGGACATCTGTAATAAGCCACAGGGAAAAAGAACATATTTGAGAACCAATTTTCTGGATCAAAAGAATTTCTTCCTGATAAACAAATACATTATGGTACCTTTTTTCTTTTGACATTCTGCTCACCTACAACAGTAGAAAGAAAGCTTCAGTCATGAAATACATATTATAATCATAGTGAAAAATTGCTCTTACTATTCAATAAAGATAGTCCCCTACAGCATTTTAGTATGTTCCACAAAAATAAAGTTTCTTTATTAGGTGTGGATTTTGTTTAGGAGAAGAAATACATTGAATGCATAAATTGAAAATACAGAAAATGAGGCGGGATATAATCATATAACCACACACACTCATGGGATATGAGCTGGACATAAATCCAATGCCAAAACCACACCTACAATCTAAAGCTAAAAAACTCAACAACTACACAAACAAAGACAGAAACGTCTAAAGCACAAGAGAGGCTGCATGCCACACAATAAGTCAATAACCCAAAGGCATCATAACAAAAATAAGTAATGTCCTCTTACTACTCTTCACTATCTGAGTGTGGTCTCATTGGGGCCAACTTATATGGCAGAAATATATTTTACCAAACTCTACTTTAAATAAATGGTGAATTCAGCCAACAGCTAAATAAACTATACTGAACGGAGTCTAAATGTTACACTTTGAATTAAATATTGTTCCGACTAACTTAACAACCCTTTCTTATTTGCAGGCAAAATGACAATGCACATCGGCTGTCGCTCTGGCACATACAGCCATACAGGGTATATATGGATTTATTGTTAAAAAACGCATACCTGTTTCATTCCATATGCCAACAATGCCAGAACAAGTAGCAACAGCAGCATCCTAGATCATGTTGAAAAGCGGGTCAGCAATCATCAATTGCCATATCACCTTTTTTTAAATATTTATTGTAGAAATGAAGATTATTGTGGAAGTGGGGTTGGGGTTGGGGTTGGTAGGCAATACAGTAGAGGGGGGGAACTTATAAGTACTTACTGCATGCCTGCATCACTTCAGACATGGAAAATAGATCATAAAATCCTTACCTTTTCACACACTTGAGCAGAATCATCTGCCTTTTTAGCCCCTTTACTTTTCATCTTAGACTTTTTAGTACATGAAGATGGTACTGGTTTAACAAATACATTTTTCTGCAGCAAACTCTCATAATGAAGCATTTTGTCCCTCTTTTTTTCAATTTTCTTCCTGGCTGGAATATCTGGAGAATAAACATATAAATATTTTCAATTGAGAGTCATGGGTGGGAGCAAGAACATTAAACCAAAAGTTTATTTATGTGAGGCTTTCTCCATTCCTCCCATTGAATTCCACACATTTGAGTCTTGTTTAAGCCACACATTCACAACTCTGGTGGTGACATATCATTGTTTGGTGGTGTAAACTCACCAGCCTCTAATAGGTGAATGAACTTCTATAACCCCACCATAGAATTTCTTTGCTCTTTAAATGTTTAATATAGTGAAAATCATTAGCCCCAAAACTTTGCAAATTAGCACTTCACTACTTTGAAGTCGAATATACAAAATCAATATTAGTTGGAAACTTAGCATCATGTGTGTCAATTGTCAATGGAGCTAAAAGAGCAACTTTTTATAATGGTTTACCTTCATATAAACAATGGAGTAAATAAAAATGACACATTTAACTTTCTCATCTTATTATTTATGAAGTTTTGGTCAGTGAATGCCACAATGCATAAGGGTCTAACTGAAGCAGCCTCTTAATTTTTAAGAAGGTAAAGTTGTGTGCATAATGACCCTTCAATCCACATTCCTCAACAAAATTGGGATGGCGTGTTGTTTGCTGATTTGTTGTTGGCATCACATATTTTAATATTCAAGCCAAATGCCAATAGCCCAATGCCAATACAAGGCGATACGATTATCACCTCTAGGCTTTTGCTTGAAACACTACTAAGTAATAATGCTAACAAATTCATGATTTTGAAATTTGAAACACAAAGGAACAGCCATCCAACAAGTAGGTCTATGAGGATAGGAGTAATACACCTTCACCCTACTTAAAAAGGTAGACACGCTAATTTCGAAAGAAACTCAACTCAAGAAAACATAAAAATACATTAGAAAAATCAAATATGAACATAAAAATAAATACAGAATAAAGAAATGATTAGTAAATAACAACACATAATAGTTACACAGCATAAACTGAGAAAACTAATTTTTTTTCAAGAAACCATCCAATGAATTTGGTAATCCTTGTTAAAATTCAGTCAATTCTGAAATCCTTGTTAACATTCAATCAATTCTGCATTCCTTGTTTCTTTCACACACATAAAATCACAAGTACAAAATGCAATTATACACGCACACAAATTGAAAATTCTCTGGTAATCTGCGGATAAAACAGAGGGAGGAAAAAATTACCGCCGGACTTGTCAACGTAGGCAAGGGAGTCGCTAGGAACATCGGCGAGAGAGCCGCCGGAGAGGGCATCTTTGATGGAATTGTCGAAAAAGTCCTCGATATCTTCAGTGCTTATATTGGCTCTCCACGCCTTCTTCCCCTTCCTGGACGACTTTGATTTTTTCCCCATTGTTGCAGGCGGTTTCTGCTGAAGAGGCTTGGAAGAAGAAGATGACGAGGAAGAAGCAGAGGAAAGAAACCCTTGATTGTCATATTTGATTTGTATGCCTGAGGTTCCTAGGAATATTACTTACACCCCCGCAACTTCCACAATTTATGTTCTATACCTGAACTTTACAATTTACATTGAGTAGCGATTCCATGTGCATCCAAGGTCCACGCTAAATTCATAAATATTTGGTTAAACTCCATCATTGCTCCTTCAATTTTATTAATTGTGTACGATTAGTCTTTCAAGTTTTAAAAGTCCACAAATAGTCCTTTAACTTTATGAGTTATGCACAATTGGTCCTTCAAATTTTAAAAGTGCATAAATAGTCCTTCAAGTACACGTCAGCCCTCCAGATGAGTTCCTTTTGACAGTAAATGTTAAAAGCTAAATGGAATACTAGCTCCATATAATACGGAGTAGTCGTACCTAGTGGAATTTACTAGTATTATATAAAACTAGTATTTCGTTTAACTTTTAATATTTAGTGTCAAAAGAACTTCATATGGAGGGCTGACGTGTACCTGGAGGACTACTTATGGACTTTTGAAACTTGAAAGACCAATGGTGCAGAACTCATAAAGTTGAAGGACTATTTATGGACTTTTGAAACTTGAAGGACCAATCGTGCACAACTGATAAAGTTGAAGGACCAATGGTGGATTTTAGCCTAAATATTTTAACAAAAAAAGTTGGGTTTAGAAGTTAATATGGAAAACACTTGTTTTATTCAAGCTAATGTGGATAATCATAATCATAATCCTCTAATCTTAAATTTAATCATAATCTTCTAATCCTAATTATAATTATAACCCTAAATCTAGTACTAATCCTAATCCCCCAAGTTTAATTTTAATCTTAACTAGTAATCTAACCCGTGCCACGCACGGGATTGAACAAAAAAATTTATTGATTTTGTGAATTATCTTCAATGTAATATTTTTAAATAAGTTTATGAAAATATATGTAATACGTTCTTTAACACTATATACAATAAAATCAAAGTAAGACAAATTTTTTAGCATTTATTATTTGGTAATGAAAATGCCTATATATAAATTTAAAAGTAAACACCTTAAAATTCTTTTTTAATCCATATTTTTTGAAAGTCTTCGGAGGATACAACATTTTTAGTGTGGTTCCAAGAATTTTCATAATCAATTTGAACTAATATTTTTAACCATATCTTGGTTTTCACTCGTAAACAATAACATAATATTGACCATGAGTGAACTACAACCTGGTTAAAATTAATCCAATAAATGACAATATTTGACATTAATTTTTGTTTATACTCATAGCAAAATATAAAGTGTTCATCGTCGTATATGTTCGTCTGGTCTTCATTGTAGATATATATTGTTTAAGATCATATGACAAATTTTCTTTGTCATAGTTAAACTACTCTTCCAAGAAATTATTTTGATATGTGTTAATAGTGGATTGTCATCTCAAAATGGCATACCATCAAACTCTTATAAGAATCGTCTATTTGAATTTGTAATTTTTCAATATCAATTAAATACAAACTCTTTAGATCTTTTGGGAAAATAATAAGTTCTACAAAAAATGGTTAAATGCGATTAGATTATTTCAACCCGTATCTCAATTATAAAGTTTTGTATACGTACCATGCATTTCATATTGATCTTTATATAAATAATAAAAACTACCTTTTTATAGAAATACCGTGGTTATGCAATATTCTTCTTCAGTCAAATAAAATTCATCAACCAAAAGCTCCCATGATTTTTCTCAAAAAACTTGAGGACGACTCATGGTATTTGTCACTTATAATGTGATTACCAACTTTCTTAGTTATTTAGTGGCGTATCAATTAATTGAAATTTTTGTTATAAATGAAGAAATATAAATTCTAAAATATCAAAAAAAAATTAATATAAAAATGAATGTCACTGTTTCACAATTAAATTTATTCAAAGATTTCATACCAAAATATTTTTTTCATATTTTATGTCGTAAATTAGGTGACATATTAGGTGTAAAAAGCCACATAAGTATGGTAATGCACATGTCAATTTTCTAACGATAAAAGTTTCATCTTTTTATACAGAGGGTTTATTGAATAATTTTATTCTTAATAATTTAATGAATTTTTTATTTTTAATAATTTTATTTTTTTATAAAAAGTAAAAGTTTAATCCCATATCAAGTATTATTAAATGGAGTCTAGTTCATAAATCAAATGCCACATAATATGTCCTATATTATGCCACATGTTTACCTCATATTATGCCACATGTATATCTCATGTTATGCCACATGTCAAGCTCTTATGGATTGAGTCTCAAATTTATATATAAAGGATTCTAATCCTAATCCCCTATAATTCCAATCCTAATTATAATCATAATCTTCTAATCTTAATAATAATCATAATCCTAATGAGTCCATATCAACAAGATTCATATAATTAGAATGCACTTGAAAATCATGAAAGTATTTGTCTACATTGAGGGTGTAATGGAATGAGATGGTGAGGTGGGTTCGGGTCAGACCGCGGTAAGAAGGCTTGTTGATGAGTTTTAGGGTAGGACACCACATCTTGGTGTCAAAAATCACCAGTGTGGTCGTTTTATTCACAAAAACTTGTTCTTCTGAACGGCTTGGTTATATTGAGACTGAGGGGAGTGTCATATTCTGACACCATCCAAGTTGAATCCCTTGTCGTATTTCCATCCACTTAAAAACCGTGATGGTTCCTACACTCAATTCCCGCTCGACCCGACACCGACACACCAACTCGAAGGCCTTCTCATTGTACATGATCCGATTTCAAGCTAATAATACCTTACTTTGAACTCTATTTCTAATTTCTATCTACCTTCATTTTCCTGAGCTTACGTAACTCATCGACTCCACGGTCAATATATCTGGTGGTTTATCGCCATCAAATTGGTGCTCTCATTGAGAGGAGAGAAACATACTCGTAGGTTAACTCTTTAGAACGAGAATGCTGCAGACAAGGAGCAACATTCCTACCATCAGCCACATGCCCGGTGAGGGGAACAGCCCGGCCAAAGTACAACTCTTTCTGTCCTGAATTATTTGTCAGCCTGCACGTCATGGATAACAAGGCTCGATTGAGTTTATTATCAATCTAATATATATAAATAATGGTTCAAATATTCAAAATGACATTTAAACACTGCTCCAAAAAAGTTACATCACTCTCTAAAAATGATATGATTATGTAATTTTATCAAATGATTAACAATTAATTTTACTAAGAGTGCGCTTCTTTGGTGCACTTGGATACATATCATTTTTGTGGATCTTCTCACATAAAAAAACTTTTTTTATTTTTTATTTAAAAAAAACAAATGTTTATTTAAATAGTAAAGAAATATTTATTTTGCTCATATGTAGGTCTATTGTGGACCTTAGTCCACCATAGAATTCGCCTTTTACTAATCTATTGTGAAACTATATTTTTTTTTCTTTACGCATTTTTATTGATTATATAATAAAATTAAATGTTCAAGTAACCACATGTTTTGTAGATTATTTAATATAATTCTTAAATATAAATGTGATTTATGGTTAGGAGAGTATTAGTGTATATTTTCATTTTCCATTCAAGTAAAGATATGTGAAGTCTAAATTCCTCACATTTTCTTTTAAAATTTTCATGCTAAAACCTAATGGAAATATCCAATACAAGGGAAGTGTATATCATGTTTTCTTCTTTATTTGGTTACTTTTTTTCTTTGAAGAGTTGCAACTAAATAATTGTCACATTCATAAAACATTGTGTTGTTTTTCTTAATTAATTAATTCCATCTAAAAATTGAATTTACCATCGACAAATTTAATTTCTACATCTGGCCAACATTTATTCTCCCTTCTCCATGCCACAAGCTAGTGCACTCTTCAAATTACTATGCAAAATCCCACACTTTTTCATATAATTTTATTTAAAATTTGACATTGAAATAACAAATGTGAACTTAATTACATACAGTAAAACCACGTCAAAAGTTTTACAAAATAAAATGATATAGACTATTTTATTTTATAAAATTATCAATAAAAACCCAAAAGTGAACAAAAGCTATCGAGATACCGAAATACAAAATTATCAATATTTGACTTGTTGTGCCCTTTGGCACGGGACGAAGAGAGTATTAATGAAAACACAATCTTAACCAAATGAAAATATTTAAATATACAAATAAGTACATTTTTAATTAATTAATTAAGGATAGAAAAGTTTGGTGAATAAAAGCTCACTCCAAGTGTCTTGAACACCAGGCAAACACCAATGGATACAATCAGCATAGCTCACAGGATTGGCAAGTTGCTCTTGACTCAAGGACCCCCATTGTTTCTTGTATATAGATGTGTGCCCATCTTTCCTATAAGTTGTTAGCTTTGTGATGTTGAGAATTGTTATTATTCGCGACTCGCTAACAAGAACTTCGTCTATTATTCGTACAGTCTCTTTCCACGACTTTGGCCCTTCGTAATTTAGGTCGTGTACCATGCTCGTTTCGTTGTAGCAGCTGCCATTCCGCTCCCCGCCCCATTCAACACTCCTATAGAAAAATTAGATGAAGAAAATCAAGGGTCAATAATTCACCATGTAGTAGTCTATATATATGAAGATCTTCCACTTTTTTTTCATCTGTCCCAAAATAATGACTTTCTCGATACAGGACCATATGTTTTTATTTCCCAATGTCGGACTTTTGGTCATTATTCAACTAAATGTTCATCATTAATGGACATTATTCTTCCCACTAGACATTATTAAGTCATATTTAGGGAATAAAAAAGTTTTAAGTCCTACATTGGGAAATGACTTATGTTTTAGTCCTATTTCACTGTAATGTTTTCTTCTCAAATTTCATGAAACTCAAATTGAGAACATTTTGATTTGCGGGACGAAGGGAGTAAGTAAAGTTCAAGGAAACGCAAGAACCTAGTTAAAATTTGATGAACTCACCTTCCATGAGTCGGCGACATGCCGGTGAAAAACACTCGTGTTTCGGTCGGATCGATGTTCTTCTTCAACCATTCCAACATGCTCTGCAAACCCATACGATACGCGTCTTTCGAGAGCACTTCCTCTACGTCTTTCACTTCATCCTCAAACGATCCTCCTTTTCTATGTGTTTTTAAGCTCACATTCATCAATTCAATCCACACTAAAACACAGTTAAATTAGACACATTTGAATTGGCTTACAAAATTTTGAAGTATTCATCTTTGAACCACCAAAGATAAGAGTGGAGAACCAAAATATGGACACCCTTCCAATGTTGTGCATGCTTATGAATTGAACCCATCCTTACAATTCTATCATCCACTCTATGCTTCCCCGGATTATCTGCGTTCGACTCCAAAAGCAATGGCATCCAATAGAATTCTATCGTCGCATTGTATTCCTTTGTATTAAAACATGACAAAAACAACGTTACAAACTTTTTTTTTTTCATCGCCTTTTATTTCTCATAAAGTCAAAGAGTGAAGTTAACTATTGACAGCGAGACGGTGAGAATGCACATTTGAAATGATTTTATTTGTTTTTACCTTGGCTGTAAAAACAGTTCTTTGCCCAACTTGTTCAAGGGGTTTGGCATTGTGGGGAATGGTTTTCTGAAGAAGGCAAAGCATGGAAGAGTAATGGCCTCTGCTTAATGAGTCTCCTGCAAACATCATTCTTTTCCCTCTAAGGGCTTCAAGCATCAATGTAGCATTGAAACTGTATTTATATATATACGTTGAAAGTAATTAATTAGTACATTAGAAGATGCACTTTTTTCACAATTTACAGCCAAGGAGCCTCACTGACTGTTTGACAAAGAAAATTCCAAACAAGAAAAGTTTTTTGGGATGGAGGTACTATCATTTTTGCAATCTTAGACTATTACTATAAATATATACTCCATCAGTTTCTTAAAACACTTCCTCTTTTATTTATTTTTTTTTCTCCAAAATATTTCCACTTTCTATTAAAAAACCAATTTTATCCCTTACTTTTTCTTACACTACCTATCACATCATCTTTTTTCACTAATAATTTATCTATCAAATCTTACTTTTACCCATCACATCAAGGGCAAAATTGAATAGTCAATCACAAATATACATTCTTTATTTCTCCTAAAATAAAAAAAGGAGTAAAATTTTAGGAAACACGAGTGATATTAAAATGAAATCTTGAAATATTTCTAGGAATATTTACATGTTTTTTTTTCTTGTTTCATGAGTAGATCTAAAAACCGTTGAATCTAGACATGTAAATATACCTCGGGAGGGAGCAGCCATGGGGTTTCCATTTCCAGTAGAGGTAATCTTTGTCGGGGCGGCCATGGGCGGCGCATGTTTGCTGAGGAAGAAGATAGGGGCAGTCGGATTCCTCGTACAGCGGTCGAGATTCCTCGTCCCGGACCCACCGCCCCGTGTATACGTCGCACCCTTCCTCCCCCCGCCCTATTGCAAACGGCACCCTCCCCTCTTTCTGCTATTCTACCACCAAAACCAAACAGTTTGTGAGCTAGACCGTGTTTCAGGACTGAACCGGCTGGTCTGACTGGGAACCGAATAACTAAGGCTCCGTTCCGTTCAACTTATTTTTTCTGATCTGATCTGATTTTAATCTGATCTGATCTGATTTGATCTGATTGGATCTTATCTGATCTGATTAGATTTGATTTGATTTGATCTGATCTGATCTGATTGGATCTGATCTGATCTGATTGGATCTGATATGATCTGATTGGTTCTGATCTGATTGGATCTTATCTGATCTGATTAGATCTGATCTGATCTGACTAGATCTGATCTGATCTGATCTGATTGGATCTGATCTGATCTGATTGGATCTAATCTGATCTGATTGGATCTGATATGATCTAATTGGTTCTGATCTGATCTGATTAGATCTGATCTGATCTGATCTGATTGGATTTGATCTGATCTGATTGGATCTGATCTGATCTGATTGGATCTGATATGATCTGATTGGTTCTGATCTGATCTGATTGAATCTGATTTGATTGAAAATTGTAATGATAATTCATATTATAATATAATCAATATTTTTTTATGATTATTTTTTAATGAAACAAAATTAATTAACTCATATATTAGAATAATCATTCATATTATAATGTAATAATATTTTTTATTTTATGATTTTTTTAATGAATAATATTGATTTAATATTTTAATAATTAGTTTATATAAACATTAGAATAATTATTTAATTTATATATGCACTAAAATGTTATTTAATATAGATAATCAATGTTATTAATAATCATTAATATTTTTATTAAAAGATCACATCCTTATATTATCAATCTTAAGCAAAGAAATAATACATTTTTTATTAAT